CACATTAAAAGCCTTACAATCTTAATAAAATATATACAGTATTTCTGATTTTTGTCAGTAAGCACGAGCAACCTAGTCATTTCTAAGTGTTTAAAATTTCAACAGCCTATCACCTACCCCAGCCAGTATCCAGAGCTAGAGAGTGTTTACTTTAAAATATCTGAAAATATATTCAGTCATTTTGGAAACTACTAAAGTGCACAAGAAATGTGCAAATAAATTATTCTCCATCTTCCTGCATATTTGATGTAATATTGGAAAAGAATAGAGTTAAATAAATAGCCCCATGTATTTTGCATGTATACTGAATTCTGTGGTATTTCCTTGTACATTATATCATAAATATAGAAAAACATTAAGTCATTACATTTCTAATTAATAACTTTTGTAGAGAAATCAATATGGGGAAATATGGGGTTTTTGAAATACAATTTGTTGTTTTTGCTGCAAAAGATTAACAAAATTAATATATAAAATTTCCTTTTCACTCCTACGGTCGTTATGTGTCTTCTGCACAATAAATTAGCTGTTCCCAGTACTGTACTGAGAGCTCTGATGTTATTCCTAGGATCTGTTGGAGTTTAGGAGTGACAGCCCCAAGTGCTCCTACCATCACTGGGACTACTTTGGCCTTTGCTCTCTACAGCCTCTCTATTGGTAGTTCTTCTTTCAGGCCCCAATATTTCTCCAGCTTCTCATACTGCTTCTCCCTAAAGTTGCTGTCACTTGGCAGCACCCTATGTCTATTACCACTGCTGTCTCCTGCTCGTCTAGTACTATTTATATTGTGATTTAATGCCCTGTCACATTATCACAAAAAAATCCTTCACTCAATTAAATTGATTGGAAATTATTTCTGAATGATTAAAAGGGCAAATGAACAAGGTTCATTTTAAATAAAAATGGCTAGATTAGCATATTTCCTCTGAATCCATCTTAATTAATAAATTGTTTGGGGCCGATTTCATTCTGCGTATCTTATCCAAGAGTAGAGGCAGCTACTACTGAAGTGAGTGCATTTTGATCTGATCCAGCAAATCTGAATTTTCTCTTTACTTTTAAAGAAAATAAATTTTCTGATAAAAAAATCACATACAACGATCGTGGTTTTAATGGAATACTTCTATAGTGAAATTTTGAACAATGAGCACAGTCCATAAAAAGGTGGGGTTGGGGCATTTCTAATTGCTTTCTTCTAAGAAGCAGTCTGATACAGGATAACACTATTTTTCAAATCACCAGAATACACTACACAAGTAGTCCTCAACTTACAATGGTTGTTTAAGCCGTAACAATACAAAGTGATGAGACTCGGAAAGGGTGCTTTACAACCCTGTAAAGAGCTCCATTCCTGCAGCCTACCAGAGCAGGTGTCTTCTACGCAAGAAGAGATGAACTTGTCCACTGAGGTGGAGAAATAGAGCTCAGATCCTGTCCAGCTTTGTTCCTGCAACCTGCTGGACCTTTGTTCTGTACATGGAGGGAAACTGAACCTGGCAGGCACCTCTCACTCCATAAGCTTAATGATACAGGAGATTGCTTAATGAGCACAACTGGAAATGTTGGGATTGTGGTCGTTGAGCAAAGCAGCCATGTGAGTGTCTTAATTATGGTTTCACTCAACAACTGAAATTCTGGTTCCAATTTCGGTTGTAAGTCAAGGACTACTTGTATTTGGATTCATTTTGAAACATGTAATGTCTCTGAACTAATATTTTGCTTGCAATCGATTGTCGCAGTTCATTGTGATTAAGAAGAAAACACATAGGTATTTAGAACATATTGCACATTGTTATGCAATATGAGGTTGTTCATGAACCAAAATGAATTACTTGCAGATCTGACAATGAAGTAGAAACACAGACTTTCCTATGTGCTGGAAAAATCCTATGCACCATTACTTATAAACAAGCAGTTAAATTTAGTGTGTTTTCTTCAAAGTAAATATGAATAGACAATTCCTAGGATCAAAGTTTCCTGTTTTTGTGAACTAATCATCACAACAGTTCAAGAATTCTTCTTTGTGGAGTTCAATTCATATGAAAGAAGAGTTCTTTCTGTGTTCTTCCTCTTCCTGCAGATGCCTTTCCTTCTTGAAAGATGTTATGGAAAATTGGGAATGTTTCTGAAGTAGAAGAGATCCATGAATAGCTGCAACATTGATTGCCCCTTTCCATTTCTCCAGTGTAGAATATCTCTTTATTACCCAATGCTATCTGCTTGCAAAATAGCTATTATAGATCCAGCCCATTAAGTTTCAATATTTTTGCTTATCTATGCAAGTTGCATACCAACATTCCAGCACAGAATGTTCTAATTCCAAAATTGGCTGTTCCAAAGCTAGAATGATCCATATAAGAACATTTTGCACATTCATATTTTCTGTTTAAACTGGTGAACCTTCAGCTTGCCCACATACTTCTATTTTGCAAGACCTATTTCAGAAATAATTAGATATAAATAATTATTGTCAGAGTTATTATTTTTACTAATCTGCACTGTGCATATTGTTCTCATGTCTCTTTAGATCAGAACTTAAAGAGGCTAGCAATTTCTTTTTAAAAAATTTAAAATACTGTAAGGCATTCATAATAGGTATTATGAAAACATTCAAAACAGAAAATGAAGTGATGTTCTTAGAAAATGTAAGGCACACAATCTGTATATATTCTAAAATATTCAAGTTTTATTTACAAGATATGTTTCAAACTTTTGGCATTTTAAATATAACTTTAAGTTGCCTATTCAATGAATATTTCACAATGACATTGTAACAAAGACCATAGCTATATGCAACATTATTGTTTAAAATGTTAGCTTTATATAGAAATGTAAGAGATGTTTGACTCATATTAATTTATAAATACTTATCTGACTCCTGTCAGAACATATCTGTGTTCAACTTCATTTAAAATGGGTTGTATTAACACATGTAAAACAATTACGTATAAATATGTGGAGAAATGTTTTTCAAGATTTTTAACTTATCATATGTCCTCTTGCTTCATAGAAAACTCATTCTAATTTGTTACAAATGAAACCTGTAACTGAAATAATAAAATTACTTTTATTTTAAATTAGACTAGTAAATTAATTTGAAATTGGTAGGCTAAGTAAAAAATTGAACTTCACAGCTACAGTAACCATTTTCTTCTATGGAAAATATCCCATCATCTTTTATTAATTCCTTGGATAAATACTTCAAGAGATAACTTCATTCTCTGAAAGATAATCAAAAACAAATATGAATCCTGTCCCCTAAAGCTGGCTGTAATTTTGTGAAGATAAGCAGGATAATTGCTTATAAACCACAGGCATTAAGTTGCAAGCTCAAGCATACTTATTAGTAAGCAGCATAGTTTAGGTCAGTAGGACTTACTTTCAAATAAGATACTTTTGAATTAAAATATAAATCCCAAAATCACACAATTATTTGAATCGTCTTAGGCTGCAATTCTGTAACATTATGTTGGGAGTAATTATTCTGTGGGACATCTGAGTAAACACATGCAGGACTGAGCTATGTTCACTAATGGGATACAAAGTTTTTGAGCAACAAATACAATAGGAAAAAAGTACATTCAATTGTCTAATTCTAAATTCTTCCACTCAAATGTGGCAACCATATTATTCTGTGTTGTTTTTTCCAAACCATAATCTATTATTCCAATTTTCCAAAGTTTCACGGAAAAGTCACCAAAGGTCTGAGATGACAACATTTGTCACTATGCTATTTAAACATTATATTTGGGGCTCAGGAATTCTCCTCCATACTGAAAGAGATGTCATGCAATCAAAGCTGGAATCTTTGAATCTGATTTCTCCTGGAAACAATTCAAACCTAATTTCAACTTTTTTGACTTTCCGAACTATCAGGAGCACTATAATTAATTCTTATCAAGTGTTCAGGAGCAGCAAAAATAAGTCTTAACAATTTACTCTAGTTAATTGGAAACGAATGAAATGAATTTACTTTCAATCATTTTCAAAGTCACGTTAGCTTCTCTATATCTTTCCTTCATTACACTTAACTGCCTAAACTCCATTCTGCTATCTACACTAGAATATGAACCCTTGATAATTATGCTGCCTCGATAGTGACAATTTTAATTCTTGCTAAATACCCCCAAATCCTGGGATAATCTCATTAAGCGAGGATTTGCACTTGAATTCTACATTTCTCCCAATTGTCCTTTTTATTTCTTATGATATGGAACGAATAATAAAAATATCTTAAGTATTATTAAAGGAATTTGCAGACAATTCAACAATCTTTTCTTTGTCAGCGCAGAGAAAGCAAAAAGCCAGTATTAGATAGGTGCGTATCAATAGATTTGCTAAACCCAAATGCTGACAAGGAAGAGAGTCAGAATGATTTTGGTTGCAGTTTATGAATCTTAGAGGAAATCTTTATTTCTAATTTAGCCAAGATCTCCCAGTGGATCATGCATTCCTGAAAACTTTTGTCCATGGTTCATAATGAAAACACACTTTGTTCCATGTCTTCAAATAAAAAAGGCATTATATTATATAGAATGCTGTGTATGCTTGCAATGAGCAAGTTCCGTAAGTATAAGTAAGTATGCTTAGTGTAAATTATGTGTTAATAAGACTGCAAAGTACAGTGATCAGAAAAGACAGAGAAACTTCAGGATGTTTTTTAGTCATTATCTAATTAGAGATGGGCAGAGGTTTAAGAGTCATTTCCTTCATAAGGAGAGCTTCAAGAGGCTACCAGATGGCGGAATGACAATGGAAAAGGCATGATCAATTTATTAGGTGTTGTGGTTTTTAAAAATACAATTTAAAATAACAAAATGGCCTAAATTTCATGGTGTAATGTCAGGCCCGAGATCTCCTATTTCGATTTCTATGGGAGAGGGGAAGGAGGAAAAAAAATCACCCTACTTAAAGTTGGCCATTTTGCTTCTGAAATCTGAAATCATAATCTGTTGATGAGGAGCTCCATGCAGCTCCACTGCCACCCAGTTTAAGGGGGGGGGAAGCACAACAGCTTCTACTGCTCATACACCTTGTATTAACAATGACAATAGATTAAACTGGAGCTACACAATTGCAAACTAATAAATACAATATGAAACCTAATCACATTTTCATTACTTTTGATTAGAACATTGGAAATTAATACATTCACCCCCTCAAATTAATTCTTGCACTCAGTCCAACTCATAATTTCCCATATTTTTTTAAAAAAAACCTGTTATAGCAGACATAATTTATTAAACTGTTTGCTAACAGCACAATTTGTAGGCCAAGAAATCAACAGATTTTGAATTAATCTAATCTTGCTTTACTCAGATGGTACTACTTTCTACTGAAATTCATGAGGCTTAGCTACATAGCACTTGCAGTGCAATGAATCTCTAACAGGTAGTTATTTTCGAGTTGGCAACTCATCCTATAATTTCCTACCATTGCTGACAATTTCTAATTTAGGATCTTCCTAAATCATAAAAAACATTAAGTGCCAAGCAACTGGATTCAATGAAACAAAAAAGTAGCTTAAGTCCAAATACTTAGTCTTAATTTCACTGAGCATCGGAGTGTAACATCTTCCATTCCACATGCAGAGTTTATTCCAATGGGGCAAGGCATGCATTGAAACCCAGCACTTTAAAGAGAGGAATAAAACACAGCTAGAGTCTGACTTCTAAAAAAATTATATCCAACTGGACGGATGCCTTGATTAAGGTCTTATCCATGCTTGATATGAGTTTTTTCCTGCATACTGCAACTATATTTCTACTTTCTAAATCACACTAAAAATACTTTGCTCAGTAGTGAGTTTTTCGATCCAAACATATTTCAGCATATGGCCCCTCCTGTTTTTAGCTACAAGCTATAGTTTCAAGTTGCTGTTCTGCCTCAGCAGCCATGGCAGCTGCCTGTAATTGTTCAGTTTCACTTTGGAGGGCACTGGCTGTGGTTACTTGCTTCCTTTCACTGTGCATATTGTTCTCATGTCTCTTTAAATCAGATGCTTTGGCAAATGCTTTAGTACAAGAGCTGCAGACAAAAGGTTTCTCCCCTCTATGTCTTCTTTCATGATCTTTCAGGTGGGACTTATGCTTAAAAGCTTTGTCACACATGTGACACGCAAATGGTCTTTCATTACTGTGAACCCTCTCGTGCTTTTTTAGGTCTGGTGCACGAATAAAAGACTTTCCACATACTTCACAGCTATATGGCTTGTAGCCTGTGTGGATCTTTAGATGCTCTTTCAAGTGGGCTTGAGTTGTGAAGCCTTTAGTGCACATTTCGCAAACAAAGGGCCTATCCGCTGTATGGAGCTTTTCATGTTTTCTCAATCGTGCTTCATCAGAAAATGTTTTGCCACATGCTGGACATGCAATTTGTTCCCTGTGACCATAAAGCAAATACTCAAATTTCATGTCTCCAGCTGCTGTTGTCCATGCTGGTGTCTGTTCATCCTTTACTTCACTTATGCCATCATTAAATGCTAGAGCCTGAGGAGTCTGTGATCCTAATTCTTTAGTTTCAGCAGACTCTATAGACTCTACTTCTTGACCATAGCAGTTCACTTTTCGAACCTCTTCACTCCCTAGCTCCTTCAGAATTGCTTCCTGAACTCTTAAGGTAGCAGTTGGCGATTTACCATCCTCTTGACTAGGAGGAGTTCCTTCCATTGTCATATCTGATGGACTATCATCATGATCACCAATTTCTTCAACCTCATCGTCTTGGTTATCATTAGACTCCCCAATTGGTCTATTTATTTTAAGACAATACTTATTCTTTGATTGTGAATTGTCTTCTGGGCTTGATACATCCCGTTTTTGAGAACAAAGTTTATCCAAAAATCTAATACCAAGAATCTGACCAGATGACATCATTAAATTGACGTCTTCTTTCTTAACCGAAATCTTGGCTGTGTACATATAATTGAGCACTTCCTCAAATATATCAGATCGAAGGAAATCTATTTCAATTACAGATGAGCTGTCAACTTCCAGTTTTTTGAAAAGTTTTTTAAAATAGGTACTACAAGCAGCTAGAACACACCTGTGTGCCCTGAATTTTACATCTTCTACAACAATAGCTATGTCACAAAATTCTCCTTCCAATCGTTGCTCATTTAATGTTTTCAGAAACACAGTTTTGTGATCGTCGTCATTATATTTAATGGTTTCAGACATACTGATGAAAAACTCCTAGAAAAAACAAAGTTATTTAAGTTACTCTAAGAAAATCAAGGTATTATTAAAAAAATATTCACATTTGAATGTATATTAAGCTGATGAACATTTTAAAGTAAATGAGAAAGCTTCAAAGGAGCTATGGATGCAAAGTGGATTACCCATTACTGTATACATTTCATGAGAAAAAGTGTATTTTTCTCTAATTAACTACAGATCTGAATAGAATAGAATAGAATAACAAAGTTGGAAGAGACTTGGAGGTATAGTCTAACCTCCTGCTTAGGCAGGAAACTGTATACCATTTCAGACAAATGGTTGTCCAATCTTATAAATAATATAAATATTACAGCCTTTGACCAGAGTTCTCTTTTATCAGGTTCAACCAGAATATATTATTCCTTCTTTCATCTGAGCTAAAGCAAAAAAAATCCCAAAACAAAACAAAACATATTTGAAAAAAACTAATACAGAGAGAAAAACTGTATTTAACCAGGAGATAAAGCAGAAACCATTAAGTAAAAGGAAAGCATATACACAAGACCAAGATTTCCCCTTTATTCCTCATAATTATTTATAATAACTAGAGAATAAAATGGTTTACTGAGACAAAAAAGGAAATGTAAACAAAGAATATACCATGAACAAGGAAAAATCTTTCCTTAGTATCTGAGCAATGTTTTGAAAGCAGATTCTTATCCTGGGCTCCCTGCACCTGAAAAAGAAAACAATAACAAATCTATGAAAAAAATTCACCCTCATAAATCCTGTGAGTTATGTTAGATCACTAGCTCAGGGTCACACAATACGTTTATGACTGGGAAGACTGGGCAGGAATTAGAATCCCTGGATCCAAAGCCTATTTCCCAAACTTAAGGTATCCCAAATGGTGGAAATGCTCCCACCAGATTTTTTGTACCATTGACAGTACATTTTTCAAAAAGCATTTTAACTGTAAAATGAGTTAAGTTTAATCTTTCTTCTGAAAGACGTGTCTGAGGCCTATAAGTTTTGGTTTTTAACAACAAAATAATAATGGGCAATTACAGGCCTATACATTGTCTGGAAACACAATGACCTACCCAGGAAAAGGACAAAGGTGTAGCAAGAAAGGAAACTTGAAAGACTCGCAACTTTTGTTGCTGGTTATGGTCCACATGATTGTTTTCTGAATGGAACCTCCTCTCCAGATTTCTTGTGGCTTCTCTAAATTTAACACCATCTTTTAGTGATTCTGTAGTGATTCATTTAATGGATGTGGCAAACTGGTAGAAAATACAACAGAAATTATCTTATGTTGAGTCGATATTCTTTCTATTATTGTACAACACTTTTATTCTAATTTTACTGATAGCCACCTAACAAAAGTTGATATATTGCACAGAGTTAGAAAATAAAAATTAATCACAGCACTTTTGCTAAAGCTGTGGTTTTAGATTCTATTTATTTCACAGTTTCAAAGCAAGTTATTTATTTCTCTGTGCTAATGCTACTTAGTGTCATTAGCACAGGGGTCATCTTGGGCAGATATTTTCCCTCATAAATACTTTGAATATCTTTTCATTGTATTTTCTCCCAAAATGCAAAATAAACATCTCCCTTACTGCTCCAGGTGATGTTATCCACAGCACTTTAATCTGTTGTGGAGGACTGTCAGCAATTGGAAATTCCTTTTGAATTAGAAAAATAAGTGCATTTTTTATTACCAATTAGACACAGGTGCTTGCAATCATCCACACATTTGTCTAAAGCAAGAAACTGATCAACAGTGTGATCTCACAAAGGGACTGAAAGTTGCTCAGTTTTTCAACATTTTTTACCAAACACTTTTCTTCGATGAATTTAATTGCCTCCAAAGCTTTTTTTCCTTTAAGAGTTTAGGATTGGCCTATTCATATTAGCACAATAGTTAACCAATAGCCAGGCCTATAAAAGTCATAAAGTAGGATCCTGGTTAACAGAAAGCTATGTTTGGCACTTTTTGCATTCACATTTTTGCTCTTTCCTACATACTCCAGAATTTCTCATCTAAAAGTATTGATCCTAGCTTATCTGATAATCCAATTACTATTATTCTAAATTAGGATTTGTAAATCAAGAACCATCCTGGTTCACATATACAAGTTTCCTATTCAGACATCCAGTATAAAACAGTGGTTGCTATTATGAGCAAGAATTGACTAAAATTCATGTACAGACATGCAGTTTACTCTATAAATAAATCTGGACTATAATAATGGATTGAAAACCAACTGGTTCAATGCTGTATTTTTTTGCTGGGGGGGGAGAGAACCAGTTCTCTGATTTCACTTTTGCTTGGAGCAGTGAACAAGCTTCAGAATATGCAAAACAACTAAAGAACATAAAAGGGCATACAATGATATGCTATTTTTCTTTACTGGAAGTTGAGTCAGATACTTTTTTGTGCCTTTAGTGCATACAAAAAGGATTCTATGCTCACAGAGATTCATCATGAGAGATAAAATCTTGATTGGGCCTCTAGTCACTCAAGAATTCATGAAGACTGTACAATATGCAGGTCCTTTTATTGTGCATTCTGAATGCCTAGACAGAATGTTACCACTGAATGTTCTGGAAACAGAGAATGCCATGCATAACATTTTCTTTAATTTTAGGGGACATATGAATTCTATCATCCTTTAGCTAACTTCTTGATAAATCTAGAAGGTACATGGGGATTTCCTCAATAATTAATATTTTGTTTTCTAACTCACCTTAGAATTAAAAGAAAAAGATGATTCGGAATTTTATGCGGTTTGGGAAAATTGGTATAATTGGATAGACAATAGAAATAAAAATTGGAAATATACATAAGGTTATTGTGTAAATTAGGTTATTGTGGGTTAGATCGAATGTACATAGTGTATATATTGTATAGAATGTAGATCCATAGTATATAAAAATGACAGTCTGCTGAATATGTACTATATTAAAAAAGATTAAAATAATAATAATAATAATAATATTTTGTTTTCTAAAACAGTGTTAGGAAGTATTATTTTCTAAACTGTCTTTCCTGATAACAAATTCACCATGGAAACAGATAATCCAGAGATTTATTTTTTTTTAATTTGTGAAGCCAAAAGAACTAAACTAAGAATAATAGAACAATTCTATGCATATATCAATCAAAAAGCAAGTCCTAAAGCTTATTGTAAGATAAAATTGGAATTACGTTTCAACACTGAATTCCAAAACATTATCTTCTCAGAACACATTAAATATATTCGACTTTATGGATGACTCCTGAAATTTGCTAATTAGCTTTCGGATCCGATCTAAGTTAACAGTGATGTTTTTAAAGAAAGCTTTTCTTGTAACGACTAGTATAAGCACTAATAAAACGAACGAACAAAATCTCTTGACATAAATGGTCTGAAGTCTTATGGGGAAATCAAAACGACTACCACCAAAACGACACCAATTTCCAAGTCAGTTTTTTTTTTTTTTCATACTGAGCCTATGGCGATCTTTCGCTATATGTAGAAAAGAGCATGGAATTCTAACGTGCACGTTTTGTAGGGGGGGAAAAAAAAAGTAACACTGGCGGCTCCGTGCGAGTAACCATGTAAGAAACGTGCACGGTCGGTGCATGCGTGCTAGTGCCCGTGCAAAAGGCCTTACGACTGTGCCCCGCTGAGACGGGGCTGCAGCTAAGCGAAGTGCACACAGATCCCTCACGCGCGACTCCCCCATCCCCTCCCTTCACCGAGGAGGCGGAGTTCAGGAAGGCCCGCGCGCGCGGGAGCGAAGAAAAAAAAAAAACAGCCTTCCATTCCACCCCCCTCCCCCAGCCGCTAAATCCCGCGGAAGAGCTCGCTCCCTCGCTCGCGCTCCCCAGCGTTAACGAATGGGCGGCGCTGCCGGACTGCAAGCATTCATTTACCGCGGAGCGAGCCTTTGCCTGCCGCCGCGCTGCACGGGACTGCGCCATCTCCGGCATCCTCCTGCTCCGGTAAAGGAGACGGCGGCGGTTCCAGTAGCGCCGAGGCAGCCTTCCAGGCCCGAGACCCAACGGCGCGCGCAGGAAGAGCAGCGAGGGGCGGCGCGCGACGGAACCTCTCCAGTGCACCTCCCCGCCTCCCTCCGGGTTCTGCTGCAGCAGTCGAGCCTCGAGTGCGCGCGCAGATGCTCGTCCGACTTACCTGCCGGGCTGCGCTTCGCGCGGAGGCTCCGGGAAGCGGGGGGAGGTTGGGTTATGGTGGCGGGAGTGCTTGGTCCGAGCAAGGATTTGGGGATGGGGGGGACGTAGGGGGAATGGCGCGCGTCTCCAGCCGTTACCGCCGCTTCCTGCACGAGCATTCAGTTTTCCTGCGCGCGCACGCGCGAGGCGCGCCGGAGGCGGGAACGTGCATGCGCGATGCGAGCAGGGCGCGCCCCCCGCGGGGAAAGGGCGGGCACTGCGGGGATCTTTCTAAAGAGGCGAAGGAGCTCGGCGGCGGCGGCGACGTCGGCTGTTGGAAGGGGAGGAGGAGGAAGGCGCGCCTGCATTGCTCTGCCGCTCTTCCCGGGCTCGCGCGTCCTCGGCTGAAGCCGCTTCTGGCTCTTGGTCGCTGCGGTCGGGGCCGCGCGCGAGATGGAAGCGGTCGGCAGGACTGTGGATTCCGGATTAGCTGCTTTCGTTCTGCTGCCGCGGAAGGAGGCATCTCCTTGGCTCGTCTTTCCACGCATTAAATTACTTGCCGAGAAAGAATTTCTTTCTGACGGACGCTTAGATCCCAATTACGTATCAGTTACATTTTACGAATAATAAAAAAAAATGAAAAGGGACAGTTTCCACCTTCCTTCAAGCTGCGCGTGCTGTTCCGTGTCGTTGCTAATTTGAAGGACCGGAATATTCCATTTCCACGCTGGGAACAAAAATAATGGGAAATGCTGAGGCTGAAATAGTGACTGTCCTGCCCATAATATTTTTATTTTTTATTTATTAAATTTATTTTTTTATTTATTAAATCCCCCCCCCCCATTTATTTCTTTATCCCCCCCCACATTCCCTCTCCCGGTTGAGGTAAGAGGTTCTCCACCCAAGATGGGGCCGGCGCTGAGAAGATGGGTCTGGGACAGAGGCTTTCTAGTGAAAAGAGCCATGTTCGGCCAATAGGTTTGCTTGCTGATGGCTAACTTTGCTATCCAGGGTTCTGGCTCTCCGTGACACCCTGATTCATAAACTGATATTGGCGGGGGAGGGGGGGTTCTGATTAAAGGAAAGAAGGCGAGGAACTGTGTCCCTTCTCAAACAGGCATTGTCACTACTGCCCTGGCTGACAGGTGCTTGAGGTCTTTATACATTATTTTTTTAATATATAATAATAATAATAATGATAATGATAATGATAAAGTTGGAAGGGACCTCGGAGGTCATCTAGTCCAACCTCCTGCTCAGGCAGGAAACCCTATATCATTTCGGACAAATGGCTGTCCAGTCTCTTCTTAAAAACTTCCAGTGTTGGAGCATTCACCGCTTCTGGAGGCAGGTTGTTCCACTGGTTAATTGTTCTCACTGTCAGGAAGTTTCTCCTTAGTTCTAGGTTGCTTCTCTCCTTGATTAGTTTCCATCCATTGCTTCTTGTCCTACCTTCAGGCGCTTTGAATTTATATTGATTAATTATAGTCATGGTTTAGTCAAATAGTTTACATTAAGCCATTCTGGGAAAATTATTATCCTAGAAGTGATTATAAACAGGGCTTTTTTTTTGTCATAGAACACCCAGAACGGAGTTCCGGCACCTTTTTGGGATGGAACCTTGTAGGGTAGGCAAGGTGGGTTGTATGACATGTGTGAGTTCCGGCACTTTTTTTTTTTTTTTAACAAAAAAAGCACTGATTATAAATAACTAAAGATAATGAGTTGACGAATGAAGGCGAATATACTCGTCCCAGGATAATGTTGCAGGATCCAATCTGGGTCAGTCACTGGTATCAGAGATTTTGTCTTCCAAGCTTTCGGACTTGTATTGGAGCCCATCTTCAGGGCACTTCTCTCTAGCAGGGTGTGTGCTCTTCTCTGTGTGGTATTTATAGTGCCTGTTGTAAGTGGCTTTTTAGATGTTGATTGGGGTGTGTTGATGGCTGGCTTTTAAGTCATTAGCTGTCATTTGCTGCCTTCTAAGTGCTTGATAGTACTAGTAAATCAGTATTCTGGTTGAATGACGAGGGACCTGTTTCCCAGGCTTCAATCACTTCCCTGGCTGTTTTTGTGTCTGCTCTTCCAACAATCTT